TAAAGATACAAAATCTGTCTCTGTCCTTTTCAGTACTATAAAATATAATCTTTCTGAACTTGACAAGAGTTTAAGACTTCTGCTAACTTCCCTTCTCATTAATTAATCAATCGAAAGCTGATACTTACATTTTGTTGTAGTATCTGTTTGGCAAATATAGTGCCGCAGTTTCGAATCTAGGTGTCAATTTTCACTTTAAAAAAAATTACATATTAAAACGGCGTTCTACTCTTAACATTTCTGTATCTTGACAGACAAATTATATAACTCCCAACTGGTTTTTAAGTTATTTAGGCAAACGACCTCAATCGATGTCAGTTATGTAGACGAATAAACTATTTTAATATTGATGTGTTTCATATTTATTATTTTACCACTATACATATGTGCCAAGAAAATGTCTAATTTTATAGGATTTCAAGGCTTTGGAAACACACAAACTAATAATGATATTATATAGACAGATAGACTGGCGTCCAATTTCAAAGTTACTTAGACAAACGAGACTTAGCCTTTTTGTAAATTATGTAAAACCAAAAAAAGAAAAGGAAGCTAGTAACATTTAGTTGTTGTCCAAGAGCTATAGAAAAATAAACAAAACCCTTGTAATATTTTTAAAGTTTTTTGTGTGTGGAGATAAACTGTTTTTCAAGGAAGACAAAGTTACGTTTTTCAATCATTATTCACTTGTGTTATTTCTTATAGCATTGTAAGCATTCTTGTTTGTTATGATTGATGGTAAGTTTTTTCATTCGTTTATTGTTTGTTTTTCTCCTGCAAGGCCGGGAATGGCCTGGTGGTTAGCGTGCTTTGACTGTGAATCCTAAGATTCATTGTTCGTGGACTGTTGTCGCAAAAACGTGTTTCTAAGTTTAGGGCCTTGATGTGTTATAAGATTGATGTTCGTGAAATCCCAATATTCCATCAAACAGGGTAGACCCAAGTGTTGACGACGGAGTTTTTTCACTAGTTGTCTTTCCTTTAGTCTGTTTGTTCAAAATTAGGGACAGATATCCAGAGACAGTTCTTTGTTTAGCGTTAAGCGAACACTGAATTAAAACACTAATCCTTCCTCCACAGTTAAGTCTTAGTTTTTCTGGTAAGTAACGATGAACTTTGGATTTTAAGGGCGTGTGAAAATCGAGAAAATTAATTTGATATACACACGCACTTCAAAAAGAAAAAAGACGTCAATAGCGTAAATAATACAAGTAAAACTGTTGGTAAATATTACACCCCTGTTTTCCTTTGTCTCTTCTCCCACAAGGGCTTCTCTAACCAGAAGAACGTGACCTCTTATTATATGGCACGGTGTTTATATATATGTAATATGGGCATGTTGTAATTTATCAAGTTATGTAATAACTTAAATGAAAAATGTAAAAAAAAAGAAAAATCGTTTCCACCATGTGATTTCCTGAATTCGAAATATTTTTACATATTTTGCTTTGTCATCGTGATGAAAAACAAATGTATTATTTTAATTACATATATTTTTTGCGCTAAGAAGTTAAGGTGAGTGCTAAGCCCCAGAGACTACAATATATTGGCCTGTGCAATCAGAAACGCGTTGTTGCGTAAGGGAAACGTCTGTTTTTGTTTTGTTTTTTTTGTAACAAGACGTGCACGTCCTTATTTGCATATAGCAGAGTTTTGTAAGTGGAGAATTAACACCGAGGCTCGTTTACTCCTCAAAATTATAAAAGAGGGAAAATATTCAAGTCTAACAGCTTTGACTTTGCAAGGACTTGCAATTAAACCCTTTCATGTGAGACTTACATCACCATGGTAACATTTTATAAAAGTATAATTGTGTGTGTGTCAAATATTTTTACGTTTTCACCCTGCTGTTATATTAAATTTATTTCTACTATTGCTTCTTTTTTGCTTTTCATAATCTGGATAACGGGTGATTTTTACAGACCATTTTGATCAGTAGGATTTGAACATTTTATCTCTTCATTCTGTTTAGATACGAGATACGCGGCTTGCAAATTACATTGTAGAATAGTTTGTCGTGCACATTATTATTAGGCTTATGGTATTACAGTCATCTTGTGAGTGGAACTTTGCTCTAAGATCCTTTAACTTGAAGAACTTCATTTTTTGACAAATATACATAAGGGTGATTATTGATTAATCAAATTCCTAACATTTTTTAAATATTTTTTTGAATATCTAACTGTGCGATATGCTTATACTGTAAATGTTATAGACATTCATAGTACTTATTAATTATTTATAATTATTTGTGCTTTTGTTAGGCAAGAACAATAACCTCATTCATTCAGACTGTCAGTTTCATGAAGTATAATATTATCACTTTAGGTATGAAATCAATAACCTCCAGCATTCATGTTCAGTCACAACTTTAAACATACCCTTCAGGTTATGCAAGGACTGAGTGTATGAGCCTTTGAATTCAGGTTCTAGAAGTAATGTAACCTTTAAAGCAACGCTATACAAAGATTAAAATGTTTTTGGTTTTTTCATGAGGTGATGTGACAACTTCCACTGTTACAATCAAGACAGATTAAGGATTCAACATTTTGCATTCAGACTTTCCCAAGACTAACTTATTTCATTTAGATTTTTATCATGACAACTCAAGTTTATATCAGGACTGTTCATGTTGTATGTTGAAGCTGTAATCTCTTAAATTAAAGTTATTTTAGAACTATTACCTTACAAAGTCAGGTTGTATCAAACTTATAATGTCTTTCAATCAGATTTTATTGGGATTTTCAGTTCTGACATTTAGTATGTACTGTGATTGTCGGCCCTCTTTTTAGATTTTTTTTAGGACAGGGACTGTATTCTTTTGAACTAAAACTGGTAAAAGTTTAAAAGAAACAAATTTTTGCCATGCCTTTGCAAGACACATAGAGCTGGTGCTTTGAAACTCTGGTTACAAGTGTATGAGAATGGTGATTCATCCACCTTGGACTGGATGCCATTAATTGCAGCTTCACTCAGCTGGGTAGACTGGAACAAGTGGGATAAAGGGTTATTCAAGGACACAACAGCATCATGTGGGCCAGCCTAGAACTCACATCCCTAAAACCTATTTCAATTAAGTCATTTCCTCTATAAAGTCAGTCAGATTTCATCAGAACTATAGCCTGTGCTATTCATATTGTATTAAGTTTATAACATTTTACATTAAGTTGCATTAGGACTATATCCTTTTCCATTTGGAGTATATTATGGCTTAGTACTTTCAGGCTTTTTCTTTTCTTCAAGACTATAACCATTTGTGATCAGGTAATATCAGATTTTTGATGGCTGAAGTCTCAGTTATATTGTATCCTGTATCAAGATTATAAACTTTGAGACTGTGGCTGTTAAAGCTGTATCAACTTGTACATTCAGGTTATTTCAGAACTACGAGTATTTGAATACTGCCTGTTACAGAACTATATACTTGCACTCAGACTGTTTTGGGACCAGTGCTTGAGTGAGGAAGGATGCCGTTTCACGTCCTTTTCAGGAGGTACTGAAACAATCCCATTACCTTTTAGTAGACTGTAAGCTTCTCAGAAGGGAAAGGTACAATAAATGATACAATAAGTACTTATGGCAGCAAGAGACTGAGGAAAGAAACTATATTTTCTTCTTAGAATGTCATGTAAGAGTGAGGCAGGATTGAGACAAAGTAGTACAGGGATGGAGCAAATGAAACTTCTTGCTTAAGTGGTTTACTGTAACCATTTTAACAGACTTATCATACAGAAAGCCATAGTCAGCAACTTGACCAGTATGGCTACATATGGCATAGCATGAATACTCATTTCATTTACTAGCTGCTTGATGAGGTATGCAACAGTTGCATGGGAGGTATGATGGGATGCTTTATCTTGGTGAACTCATACTCTATTTACCTTGTTTTCATACAAAATCAGTATTTCTATGGGATACATAAGGTCTAGAACATTGGTTTAATAAAAAGCAGACTTCATCTTGATTTTTGTATCCACTCTTCTCATTCTTAACTTGTCCGTGGTGTAGTGTCCAACTGTGATCATGAATATCTTCAAAAAGGTGTCATAATGTGCCATGTACCATTTTTGGAAGTTTCTTTCACTCATTGACTGGTAGAAAATAGTATGAGACCTGTTGTAGTTCTCAAGATGTACCTATAATATTATTGTGTGTCACCACATAGTTCCATAGTTAGGTACCATTAATACAGTTGTTCTTCCCTTCCTGGATGCATCATGGAAGCAACTTGTGTTTGTCACTTTTCTAGAGAAACATCTTTCTTGGTTATGTTACATACTGTTGCCTGTGACATGTGGATAACCTTTGCCACTGACTTTTGTACTCGTAGGGATTCTCACATGTTACAAGATGCTACAGTTTGCTTACCACCTCTGGGGTACAACTTGTTTCAGATAGCTTATTCCTTTCTTTTTTTCCTATCCCCTCAAGGAACGAGGAAGATTACCATCCTGGAAATATTAAATCCCTGATCTGAACACATTTTCATAATCCGAGTGTATGAATATTTTATGTTGGAAAAGGCTGTTACATGTATTTCTCAAAAGCGATCAGTTTTTGTTGGCATCACACTACCTACAAAATGCTAAACAATGTAAAAATGTAGTTCTTGTACATTCTATTCCACTGTGGACTTTTATATCCACTGTGGTTGTCATGTGGCTTGCTAATTTACATATTCAAAATTGTTTTGATATAAAGTACTGAAACCTTGTATACTTTAATTTCTCTCGTATCCATAAAGAATTAATATGAGGACATTGTATTGGCCCAAGTAGTTGATTAAATTGGTAAAATAGGAAGTATTAAAACAAGCATGTTCAAGGCTGTAGTCAATCCTCCATCAGTTTGAATGTAATATTTGACTCTCTCACTCTATTCATTAGCTGCATCTAACTAGTTTTCTTGATAATGTTAGAATATGAAATATACAGCTAATTATTATTTTAGAAATATACTTAAATATGAACTAGTACAGATTATCTCGCTTGAAATTTCAGACATGTTATAACAAGTGCAGCTCCTGTTTTTACACCTGACCTGTGGACTATTGTATGTGTCCACCTCCAGAGGGCGTTTAGGGTCACCTTGCAGAGTGTGCGACAGTTGATGGTATGTTTTCATACAGATTCTGAAAACTTTTATGGAGACATTGGTCAGGTAAAAGTCGCTGCACGTAGAGACTGCACTGTTGCTGAGTCCGAACGTCTTAGGCAGCTTGCACATCAGGTAAGAACTGTGAAATATTTTTTTTCAAATTGGAATCCTTCATTTGAAACTCATTAGTGTAAAAGTTTGTGTTCAGAATTGTACATTTTTGCTCAGAATGATTTTCTGCTATTATTTTCTATTGTTTTTTTTCCCATAGAACTTTAAAGGGACAAAAATGAGGTAATTAGCCCATCATGGATGTCCCTTCCAGCTCCCAACTATAACCATCCCTTACTACTCATGTATTCTTCCAATCTTTTCTTGAACTCAGTTAAATTTTCTGCCTCCCTTGAAGGCAGCTAATTCCAAAAACCAACCACCCTGTTTGAAAAATAATACTGTCTAAACTGCAGATGACTCATATGCTGCCAAATTATGATTTTATGACCCCATGTCCTATTGTTTTCACTGTTAAACACAAAGTTTGATGGATCTATATTATAGTACCCTTAATAATCTTAAACACCTCAATCAAATCCCCTCTGACCCTTCTCTTCTCCAGAGAAAACAAGTTTAAATATTTTGGTCTCCTCATAGGACAATCCCACCATCTCAGGTATCATTTTAGTGACTCTTTTCTGAATCTTCTCCAACAATTCCGTGTCCTTCTTGAGGAAGGGAGCCCAAAACAGTACACAGTACTCTAAATGAGGCCTCACTTATAGACTTGTTTATATAGGCCAACTTTAGTTTCTATAAAGTGCTCCTGTATAATACATAGCTCAGTGTACCAGAATAATTGAAAATTCTGGTCGATTAGGAGGAATGTGATATTTGCAAAGGGCTTCCATGTGAGTTGAAACCTTTGATAAGTCTATGTGGTGCTAGATATTAATGCTTTTTTTTTTTCACTTATAAAGTAGCTTGAATAACATTTTTTCTTTATTCTATTTCCTGGTCTTTCAGTCAGTAGTAGAAACAATGGCAGCATCTGATTTTAATATATGTACAGAAACTTTTCAAAGGAGCAAACTATCATGCATGATTTGATAGTTATAATATTACATCACGAGTCTCTTAAATGTAAGATGTTTCATGTGGTATTGTTTCTTTGCATACACTTAAGATTCCTTGTCTTGGATATCTTACAATCGTCTGTATAAATTTTGTTATATTACTATATTCAGTTTGGTAAAAAAAAAAATGTATGTAGATGTTTAGATCTGCCTCTAAACTTATTTTTGCAAGTACTGTGTAACAGATGGGATTCTCCCTCATTGTTGCCCTGGTTTAACATGTGTGTTAAAATACCTTCTCTGTGTGAAACATATATTAACATTACTGTATTTACTCAAAATGTGTCTACAGGTATTTTTCCTCGACTGTCAGCGAGTTAATCCCATGACTGGTGCACATGAATCTACTATTGATGATGAACGTTCATACATCTTTCTGCTGCATCCTCCCGATGTAGAAAGTACTCTCAATCCAGAAATGTTCATTATTAGGTTTGTACTGTGTTGAGTAGAATTCAGTAAAATTTAATTCTCAACTTAACTGTTGATTGTTATTTTGAGCAAGATAGAAATTATAATTTGAAAACAAGTTTTAGTATAGAAATTTATTCAAGTGTAATGCTGTATTTATTTCAAAGGGTACCCTTCCGCAGTTTAGTTGTTGGATTGCTGTCACATCAAATCTTGCTTCAGACTATGGCCACAGTTTTGCTTCAAGGAACTCCACATCTGTTACCTAGTGTGGCAACACTTCTTCCAAGTTCTGTGGCCAACAGCAATGCCAGTTATATGAATAACAGCTCGTCCAGTACTTCTCTACCAGGTACAAATCTTGTTATTGCTTTCATACTTATCAGATTTAGTTTGATGTGTATGTGCTATGTGATAGTTACCACGATTTGATTTTATGCCACTGAAATATATAGGCTATTTGTACATCAACTATGGCTTGTTAAACAGATGTTGTGTTTACATAATTTTTGGGTTAAGTTTTACATTTTATTAAAGCTAGGTAGATGTGTTTTATTATCTAAGAGTTAAGCTCTAAACATTCTTAAAGTTACATAGAGGTGTTGATGTTATCTATGCATTACATTCTACACTTTCTTAAAGCTAGGTAAATGTGTTGATATTATTTGTGGATTGAACTTTAAATCTTATCAAAGCTAGGTAGGTATGTCAGTATTATCTTTGAGATAAGTTGATGTGCTAACTTCTAGCTAAATATATATGTGTGTATGTCATCTTTAGGCTATATAATATGCTAACTTGAAGGTGAAACAAATGGTATGCTTACAGTTAATTTGGGGTAGTTAATTAACTTTAAAGTTATTAAAAAGTGTGTATATTTTCTTTAAGCTAGATCAAAGGTGGTTGCAGACCTCATTGACTAAATGTTATTTTAGACAGGCAAGAAGTGGTCATGTAACATTTGAATGAAGAAATATGACATCCAGCAATCAAAAATGCAACACATTCATTTAAACTTCTAACACAGTACATTGGAGAACTAATAATAATATGTATATTTAACTTACCCTTAAATGAGGTGAAATACTGCTTAGACTTTTCATCTTCATAAAAACAACAATTAGGATAAACAGGCTCTGAACTTTTAATGTGAAATAGGCAATATTTAGTTTTTCATAGGTGATACCTCATTTTAGAAGTTCTGTGCTTCTATACATAGTGTATAGACTTATTGTCCATGTTTTGTTTTGTATAATATATATATATATATATATACTAGTAATTCAGTACATTAGATTATTTAGGTAGTTA